CTTTTGTGAGGAACTTTGTCAAATGCTTTAGCAAAATTGAGAAATAAGGCATCAACAGTTAGCTTTTGTGATGCAGTGTAAGTCAAAAAGTCCATAGTTTCGAGTAAATTTGTTGCGCATGCTTTTTTGCTGACAAATCCATGTTGACATTGGGAGAGAAGATCGTTAGATAATAAGTGATGCATGACCTTATCTTTAACCAGTCTTTCTATTATCTTACATGGAACAGAAGTGATGGAAATTGGTCAGTAGTTTGTAGGGTCAGTCTTAGAACCGTTTTTGAACAATGGAGTTACATTAGCTACAAGCCAAGCCTTTGGTACAATTGCTTGTTCCATTGACAATTGAAAAATCATGGCAAGCGGAGCTGCTATTATGCTGGAACATGCTTTAAGAACATAAGGACTTACTTGATCTTCTCCAGCAGATTTATATTTGTCAAGTGCCTCAAGGTGTTTTTGAACAGATTCAGAATCAAATGAAAGTTTAAGAGAGAGGTAGATAAGCGTTTAGCAAACAGAGGTAGATTTTGATTATGAGGCTCAATAGTAAAGACAGATTGGAATACCTTTATATATATATATATATATATATATATATATATATATATATATATATATATATATATATATATATATATATATATATAATATAACCGGATTTTGATCGGATTGAGTGTATTTTATAAAAATGTACTAATAATTCTTTAAATGACTTATAACATTGATAAAACGGTCACTAAAGCTCAAAATATGATTTTTGCAAACTAAAAAAATTATTTTTTGAAAATACTCAGTTGTCATAATGTATGTCGTAATACAGGTTAATTTTTTAAATACAATTATATTTATAAATTATATTTATAAATAAACTTTATAAATACTTCAAAAAACCTATTGTAATAACTGTACAATGCTAAATAATGTTTTCACAAAGATGTCTGGCTATGAAAATAGCTATTTAACAAAAGCAGCTAAGGCATTTTTTGAAGTTATACTTTTATTATATTTAAATTTTATTTAAAACACAACTCATAAGTATTTATAACAAACTTGTTAAAAACTTTTTTACTATCTATAGACTCTGTGTGAAAAGCTAAACTAAACCATTTAGACTTTATCACCATTTTCCTTTGCAACTTCTACATACTATTCTCTTATTACTTTTTAGCATCAACACCAGTTTAGGCGCCTCGGTAAAGAAAAGGCTTGTTGCTTGTAATGATTCAGTATTATTAGATTGGAGTTAATTTTTGAAATTCAGCTAGTTAAGTGAAATTCAACTAAACTTCCCACAGGTCAAACTCATGTAATAAAACCTTTGGTTTGGCAATAATAAATAAACCTAATAAAGCCTTTGGTTACATAAAAGACACTAAAACATATGATTTGTTCTTTCCAACTAGTATAACAAAACACTAAATTTCTGCAATTGTTTTTAGAAGAAACTGAAGATTAGAAAGAAGAAATTAAAACACAGGTGCTTTATAACACTTTAAATCATTGAATCAATCAAACATTGTATTATACTCATTAATCAGATAGTCTAGCAGAGAAACAGTGATAACAATTTAAAATAAATTGAAATGCAATTTTTAAGCTTGTTTAAAGCATATTTGGAGGTGTTAATTAATAGTATTTCTAAGTATAGAGACAAAATCTTTTAATGCTTGAATAAGATTTGAACTATAAAAAAAAATCATTATTACTTGCTTGCACAATCGTGTAATTAAAAAAATGTCTTGTTATACACAGTACAACAATAAAATCAAAATTTCAGTAGAAGAAGCAATAAAATCAAAATTTCAGTAGAAGAAGCAGTAGCAGAGGTTGCACCATTAATGACATTCTTTGAGACAGAAAACCACAGAAATAAAAAGCTTTTGTAAAGTATCCATGCCACAATTTAACATTTCATAACATCTAAAGAAAAATCAGTAATAGCTTTTATTAAAATACAAAATAAACAAGTTTTCCCTTTATGTGGTTCATTATAGTTCATATGAGTATTACGATTACTCATGATTCTCATTAAGGATAAACAATATGGCTGATTAAAATTTATACTAAATAAGTCTGAAATCTGGATATTGACATTCTAACTTTTTTGTCACATATTCTGGATTATCAAAGAAAACCAAGGAACAAATACTAGTTTTTATTGATGTAATTATAAACAGCTTCTACTGGTAATAACTCTGTCTTCTTTTCTTGTATCCAAAGGATATCGTGATATCAAAAATTCTAAACATTTAGAAATGTTTAAGCAATGTTTAATAGCAAGCTTGGTATGGCACAGAATTTAAAATAATTTAGCAAATATTAATTCATTTAATAGATAGGTAGACATTATTTATATTAGCATATATGCTAATATAAATAATGTTTACCTATCTATTATTACCTATCTATACTATGCATAGTAATGATCATTATATTAGCATATTAATGAAATTTTATACAAAATTACCAAAATAAAATACTTTATAAAAAATGTACTTTTTGTTGAATACAATAGTTATTTTTGTCGAATACAAGTCATAGAGCCTAAACCAATAATCTCTGATCAATGATTTTTACATTATTTATAAAAATTTTAGGAACACCCTAATATATATATATGTTACTCACAGATCATGGAATCGTGCATTTTAGGGAATTTTTTAATCATTTTGTGAAATGGATAGCACTGTTGCGCAGATTGTAAAATGTTTAACTTTTATTGTTTTTTTTTAATACATATTCTGCGTAATAAATATTATTTATAATAAACATGTTTTTTCATTAATAGACTACCTGCCCAACCCAAACTCTCAGTCGATGTAGCAGCACTCCGTTGGGAATCAGGCTATAAGATAGTCGATGTACCAGCTCTGTTTAAGTCGCAATTTCTTATTTAAGTCAATAATAATATCTATTATATATAGTATAATTAAATATTTAAAAAAATACCTGTAAAAATTTCAAATTTTACAATCTGTGCAACAGCGCTATCCATTTCACGAAATAAGCAAAAAATTGCACAGTTCGTGAAATGTGCAATTTCACGATCTGTGTATAAACATTTTTTAACTCACATTTTTTGTATCTCAAGAAGAATATTCTGGAAGCCAACATCTGATATAAGAAATATATAAGCATTGCGATGCAATCTCATAAACTTTTGCACTCTAAAAGTTTAAATCAAAGAAAGCCTAAATATGTATCATATCTAAAAACAATATTTAAATTGGTAATATCATACCTAGTGAACACAATGCTCACTAGGTATGATACTGTGTTTTTGGTGTCTAAAATACGTATTATTACATTGTAATATATGTTTTAAATGTTTCAAACACATCACTAATTATCATACTTAGTTTTTAAAACAACCAACTACGAAAAAACAAAATATAAAATATTTTATCATCCATACAAATGAGGGAGAACATTGACGATAAAAATAACTTTAAGTTCAACAAGGCTGAAAGCGAACACTATTAAAATTAAGAGTTACAAGAAAGCATAGAAGAAAGTTTAAGAATAACAAAACAATTATAAAACTGTAAACTTTATGAGTCTAGAAAACATGAAGACAAGAAAAAAAAAATATTGATATTCAAAGAAAAACCTGGATAAATAAAATTTTTTGACATTAAAGGAACAAACACAAAGAAAAAATTCAATCCAAAAGAGATGCATTCTTATTATGATGGAACATAGAACTCAGTAAAAGTACTGAGTTCTATGTTCCAAAAGCCACTCATCAAGATAGAAAGCAACATTTAAACAAATATTAAAATATTAGCAGTAAACTATAACTCATCACTGCAAATTCAAAGCTGACACAGAGGAGAACTCATATTTAAGATCAATTGTTCCAAGGAATCAAAAAGTGATGATTCTTTGTCAAATGCTGACTTTAATGTAACTATAAAAGTAAATAGAGCCATTCCAGTGGTAGGTTTATCAGGAAGATTATTAAAAACAACACAGGATCAAAAATAGAAATTAGCAGCACTCTAAAGGTTACTAGAAATGAAAGAGTATGTTGCCCCATCAAGACCAACTTTAATTGCAATTATAACAAAACAACTCATAGTCTAAACCACAAAAAAAAGAACAAGGAAACATTTATACAACATAAGTCTAAATCACATTAAAAAGAACAAGAAAAAACTGAGCACAGAATCAAAACACAAATCAACAAAAAGCAATATCAGATAAGTGATATTAGATATACCACTTATCTTATGAATATCAGATAAGTGATATATATTGTCGGAAAATCACAAATTTTCTTATCTGGGTAAAAGATTAAGAACAAAAATTTATGGTATTAAAACCAGTTTAGTCAGTGGTACTTAAGCCAGGCCAAATAATGTCAGATTTATAAAGAGGATAACTTTATTAATTTCAAAAATAACAAATCAAAAATGACCAAAAATAACACTAAAAAGAGTGCAGTCTTAGGATAACGAGGAGGGAAAGCAATAAAAAAAGTTTTGATCCATTTTGATTATCTAAGTGATTATTTATTCACTTATTAAATATTTATAATTATTATAGTTTATAAAGTTTAATAGTTTTGTGAGACTGTGACAGGATTTAAGAGTTTAAATGAGGAGTAACTTATATGACAGATACCTGAGTGATTTTTATGTCTCACCACGGATTAACCATGGATTAACCTGTTTTTCTGGGATTAAAAATAAAAGTTTTAGCATGATCATAATAGTCTACATCACCTAAAGGAGAATTAGGAAAAACTGAACACAATTTAGAAGCAAAAGTAACTGATTCGATTTGTTTAAAAAACTATTAAATGTATTTATTATTTAATGTAAACCATTTAGGATATAAGCAATAAACAATTAGTCTATTAAAAGAACAAATAGGTTTGTAAAATTTACATTAAGTAAGATTCTTTGGATGAAAAGTTACTTCAAAGACCATAAATATTAGTAAATGATAGTAACAATTTGTTGATAATGATAGAAACAATTTATTGATAATGATTGAAACAATTTGTTGATAATGATAGAAACAATTCGTTGATAATGATAGAAACAACTCGTTGATAATGATAGAAACAATTCGTTGATAATGATAGAAACAATTTTGTAATATTGATAACTGATAATGATATTTGTGATAATTGATAATATAAAATGATAATTGATAATTATTGATAAAAAATAATAGGATAACAAGCTTGATAACTAGAAATGAAATGCACCTTATGACAATTGGCAGACGCTCAAGCTTGATAACTAGAAATGAGAAAGAAATGCACCTTATGACAATTGGCAGAGGCTCAATACTGTATGATAGAAACAATTCATTGATAATGATAGAAACAATTATTTAATAATGATAGAAACAATTTGTTGCTATAGAAACAACTAGTTAATAAATTTTTTTTGTAATTAATATAGGCAATATAGTAAAGATTTAAATTTTTAGCTAAAACATAAATAATTCTTAGCTAAAAAATAAATAATTCTTAGCATCCTACACAATAAATTTTGCAGATGCCTCATCCCTGCATATCAACCCAAAGTTGTAAAAAAAAGCTCCTCAGAACAATTAAACTGAATTTAGTGAGTAAATTTTGTAAATGCTATTATAAAAACAGTAGCTAATGATACAATAATAATATACAAACTCATAAAAGTAAATATTTAAAAATTACCTTTCAATAACAGATACATCAAAAGAGTTCTTGACACCTGGGTACAGTTCTTCTATAGATTGGATTAAAAAAGCTACAGAGTTTTTGGGGAAAATAATAGAATTCTTAACTGTTCCCTCTGCAACTATGTTTAAAATAAGTTAAATTTTTTAAAAACTTAAATGAATAAAAAAAAAAAACACAAAAAACTTAACTGTAACTATATGTCTAAAACACATCTCCCTAAAACACATTTCCATAAAACAAATCTCCCTAAAACACATCTCCCTAAAACACATCTCCCTAAAACATATCTCTCCAAAACATATTGTCTTTAAAAACTCTGCATATCTACTACATACTTATTTCGATGTCTAAATGTTACATACCTCTTACTTTTAAAATGTTACATACCTTTGAAAAGCTTTTACCATACCTCTTACTTTAAAAGACTTTCTTAACATGATATCTATCACACTTTTTTCCAGTGACTTATTTATAATTACTGGTGTAGTCATGCTTTTAAAAAAGTAATTACAATATTAATATAACTACTTAAGCTAGTAATATTATTACAAATATTAATACAAATTATAAGAATTAACAGAACAGCAATTTACAGAAAAAGAATCACGTAAGCTTTTTTTTTAATACCAATGTTTAGTTTTTATTTCAAAAATTTTTTTTATTGATAAACATTTAGTTTACTGGTATTTCTGAAAATTCTAACCATCAAACTGTTTCAAAGAATGTTATATTTAATAGTAAACTATCTAACTGAAAACATAAAGTTTTTTCTTCCTAAATGACTTGTTATTTGTTTTCATGTAAATGCTAACTAATATAACTGGTTATTGAACATTAATTAGCAGTAAAACAGTGTATTGGTTACAACTCCCTAAATTTTACTCAATTTACACTTTCCACATAAACTTAAAAAAAAGAAATTCAATATGCAAGAACAAACAAACAAATCGTCAAAGACAATGAAAACAAAATAAAACTCATTTTTTCTTTTTTTTTTTAAACTAATAAATAAATTTTTTAATATAATTCTATTCACAAATTTCTTTAATATCTCTTGCTTGCTACATAAATTTGAACAATTATTCTTGTTTGCTTGCTACCTCTATGTGATGAAGCAATTATCCTTGCCTGCTACATATATATGTAAAAATCAATTATACTTGCTTGCTACATAAATATAAAAAAATTCAGCAAGTTTAAAAATAAATATTAATAAATATTTTTAAACAATTTCATCATTCAAATCTCCCTCTTCAAGTTTGTTTTCTTCTTCAGCTTCATTTTCATCATAAATTGTATCATAGTTACTCTGAAGAGCATTGTATCGATTCTCTTCTGTTTCTTTTTCTTTACTATTTCCCTGTGGTAGATAAAATTATTTACGTAATGTAAAAACTAACATACTAAAAAAATTAAAAAAAAAATAAAAATATCATTTTGCCTTTAAAAGTTTGTAAATAATAATAATAATAATAATAATAATAATAATAGTAATAATAACAATAATAACAATAATAGTAATAATAATGATAATAGTAATAATAATAGTAATAATAATAACAATATATATATATATATATATATATATATATATATATATATATATATATAACAATAATAATAATAATAATAATAATAATATATATATATATATATATATGTACATATATTAAAAAAAAACATTATTTAGACAGGTACTAGTATTTGAATTGCTGATAAATAGTTAGCACAATGGCTAGCGAAGTATATAAAAATTTTAAAGTTATTTACATTATAAATATTTGTTATTTATTACTTTAAAAGGTAGAAATATGTAAAGTTTTTCATATATATATATATATATATATATATATATATATATATATATATATATATATATATATATATATATATATATATATATATATATATATATATATATATATATATATATATATATATCAGGCTTTCCCAGGAAAGGCGTGCGGTCGCACGCCTTGTTTGTCCACGCATAGAATAAATTTTTCAGAAAACGTGACCGCGGTAATATTTCGTGGGAAAGCGAAACTTATCCACAGAGAATAAAAAATAATATTAAAAAAAGGAAACGAAGTCTAAACAAAGTATAAAATTGAAATTGGATGTAAGAAAAATATTTTAATAATAAAAAAAAAAATAAAAAAATTCTTGTAACAAAAAAAAAAAAGCCTTGAACATTTTTTTCAAAATTTTTATACTGTTTTTTTTTTTTTTTTCAGGGTTGCTATTTTCAGCTACGAAATTTGATACAAGTCAAGGAAAAGACGACTATAAGTTATTAAGTTTTCATGAACATAAAAAGACTTGATACGTAATATATTCGCGAACTTTATAAGACAACGTATTAAAAAACTGATTCAAAATTTACGCTAGACAAATTTAGTTAAATTTTTTAATTTAATTTAGTTTTAAGGTTTATGCAAAGGCGATGACGTTATTCTCCAAGAAAATAAATTACTGTTTTAATTATTAGATATATTATTTGAGATTTTAAACATAACAAAACTTTAATGTGAAAAAAGTTCTCTCGACTTATTCTCAACCGATTATACTGAGTCAATGCTCGCCTTTTATTACGTTGAAATTATTCAATTGCATAATTTTGTAATTATGAAAGAAGTTAAAAAAATAACTGCATTGCTTCTGTTGTCATTGTTACGAAAACAGTTCCTTCGGGACATTATTATATATTAACACTTGTTAACAATGTCAATTAATGATTGCAAAATAAAATAAACTCAATCGTTTGACAATAAAATTTTCTTTCATTTGAAAATAAAAAAAAACATATTTTACAAATAAATAGTTTTCGCGCTTTCATTTAAACATTTAAATGTATTTACGAAACATTTAAAAATTGTTTATAGATCTATCGTGAATTTTAAAGTATTACTGACTGATAAAAGTCATAAACAAATTTTACATTAAAAGGTCCTTTTATTTTCATTAAATAACCTTTTTTTTTTCGATTTTATTTTTCTTATTGATTTGATTTTTCATAGCTAAAATAACTACCACACTAAAAAAAATATATATATAAATAAATAAAATATAGGTAAATTTTTTTTAATAATAAACATTAATTTTTTAATTTTAAAGCACAAACGGATTTCTGTTATTTACTTTAAGATTGCTTGCATTTTAGCGGTATTTTCGTTTAACTTTGTTTTAGCGCGAATTTTTGAAACGCATAATAACAAAACGTGGTCAGTTAGTCAGAAAAATTTATTTTATGCGTGGACAAACAAGGCGTGCAACCGCACGCCTTTCCTGGGAAAGCCTGATATATATATATATATATATATATATATATATATATATATATATATATATATATTGAATGATGTTGGGGGGTACCCACATTACCCTCCTCCCCCATGTATTCGCCTGATATGTGTGTGTGTGTGTGTGGGTTTGTGTGTATGAATATATATATATATATATAAATATAAATATATATATATATATATATATATATATATATATATATATATATATATATATATATATATATATATATATATATATATATATATATATATATGTATATATATATATATATATATATATATATATATATATATATATATATATATATATATATATATATATATATATATATATATATATATATATATATATATATATATATATATAAACATACATATATTAGTTGTTTGTAATAAAGATGTTTTAAACATCTTTATTACAAACAACTTATTTATTAACAACTTTTATTTTGTTATTTAAGATAACAAGCAGCTTTTTTAAAAAAAATCTTACCAATAAACCCATAAGTAAATCTTTAAAATCGAATGAACCACTTGTAGATAAAAGTTTTGAATTTGCATTATATTTATCGAATTTTTCTTTAGAAGTTATAATTTTTATTTTGATATTATCTAAAAAAAAAAAATAAGTTACTAATAATTATCTTAATAAATCCAGACTTTAGCTGATTGACTTGCATATAATATTGAACAAGAAAAACAGGTTGCAGTTAAATTTTTAGACAACTATAATGTTGGCTATCATAGATATTGCCAGGCGCTCTATCTCAACAGCATTTGAATTATTTTTATTATGAACATACTAGATAAAAAAAAAATCCTTAAAAAAAAGATTGCACACAAACTATTTTTTTGTAATTTTGTAGTTTGATTTGTTTCTTCATTAATTGTATCTTTCGTTATACTTTTCTTTCTATTCTTTTAAAGTTTTATAAATTGATAATGATTTTAGTAATATATGAACTTTCAGAACGGTGTTTGACATTAAATACACCAGCAATAAAGTTGAT